AACAGAAAAGTGAAGTTGCCGTTTACCAGCGGCCGCTCGATGCCGTCGACCGTGCCCCGCGAGATGGTCCGGAAGCCCAGGTAGCTTGCCACCGTGTCCTCGCCCAGGGTCACGGTTACGTTGTAGAGGTTGGGCATGTCGGGCGACCAGAGCTTGGGATTGGTGACGTTGAATTGGAACGGCTGGGCGGAAGTGCCGTTGCTGGACCCGATCTCGGAGTCGCCCTCGTGGATGGCGATGCGCACGGTGGTGCTGTTGCCGGTGGCGCTGTGGACGGTGACGTTGACTGGTTTGGTGGTTAGTGTGCAGTGATTGAAGGAGTGTGTAAGGCAGACAGCTGCTTACCCTGTCCATGCATGTCGCCGCTCAAGTCCAGCTGCGTGATATAGTTGGCGGGCGCGGACTCGATCCACACGCTCTGCCAGATTCCACTGCAGGGGGTGTAGAAGATGTGGCTGGGGACCAGGTGCTGTTTGCCGATGGGGATCACATAGTCGTCGCTGTCGGTCGGGTCGTGAACATAGACCAGGCTGTAGGGCTTCTGTTAGCTGGGATAGATCGAGGGCTGGAGCTGTGATCTACGTACAGCTCATTGTTCGTCGTCGCATTGACAAACGGAGTAATGTCCACTGTGAATTCGAAGTAACCTCCCCGGTGGAAGCCCGCTTGCTGTCCGTTCACGAATACAGTGGCTTCATAGTCCACGGCCCCGAAGTTCAACAACACGTTTTGTCCACTCCATGAACTGGGGACGGTGAAGTTGGTGCGAAACCAAGAGTAGAATGCTGACTCTGCTTGAATGCCTACAACAATTGAATCAGCTTCTGCGCTCAGAGGATGAGCGGTGCAACCAACCCGACAACCCGCTCTCGAGACAAGAGGGAATCAACACTTCCTGAGCAAGCGCCTGTCCGAATGGCGGACTTTGCGCTGCATCCAGACTCGTGGCAGTCTGATACTGCCAGATCCCATTCAGATTCTTCCAATCCGCCCGCTGTCGTTGCGGTCGAGGATACTCAGGCCAGGGATTGGTGCCCACTTGATCGGTCCAGTTCGTCGTCAACGGCGGCTGCTTCACCGCATAATCTGTCGTCTGTCGCGTGGAAAGGTGCTGAATACTTCCGATACTCCGTGCCAGAGACTCGGAGGCTAGAAGGGGAAGAAGCCAGGTGGAAATCCAATGCATGACGGCCGTTAGTGTCTAGTACATAAGACGTGCAGTTCAAGGTGCAGCAAAATATCCTCTCCAGGGTAAGACACCCGCCCTGGAGTATTTATCCCCTTTCGATTGTCTACCTAGGATTCATGCTGAAGGCAAAGCAGCAAGTGCCGAAGAGGGCCTGCGCCAGCAGATCCTACACCATGTCATCGGGCTTTTGACCCACTCCGGTCAGCATGATTGTCATGGCAGCGCCACGATAAGAGGGGATGATGGGGACACAGAACATTGAGCAGACGCCGAACACACAGGAGTAGAGTCTTGGAGTGCTCCACCGACCATCACTTGATCGCTTGGCAACCCAGCGTCGTGGTGCGAAGTGAATGGACTCGGGGAGAAGCCATGGGTGATGAACCGGCCCGAATGGTTGACAACCATGTCCCATCTGTGTCCGAGTACGTGTAGATCGGATCACCACATGCCAATCTGAGGATTCTGAAGCTGTATTCCTTTCTCCAAGTCTCCAAATATCTTCTCCACCGATGGGTGAGTGGGTAAGAGACTCTGACAGTCAAAATCACTGCATCGGGCCCTGAGCGCTGACTCAGCCAAATCACCCAATGAGGGCCACGGATCACGAAGCAGGTTTTGGCTCAGATGGAGTCTTGGGACTGGGCTGCATGAACGGATTGCCAATCATTGATCTCATCCTTTCACAGCTCAAGTTTGGGTGCGGTGAATTTGCCTTCTGACCCCTTTCTGCGTTCCCTGGTGTCGGGCACTTCCCTACCTGCACCCCTGCGTGCTCGTCCTATTGTGTTCAAGGGGCATGTACTTTGTCCATGGTTTATTCTTCCCCGCAGATTCTAGCCCGTCCCCCTTGCGTTTTCTTTCTGTCCAAATGCCAACTCGCAAAGTAACGTGGCTAGCAGTTTTCCCTATCACTTCCTACCCCGCATGTCGCGCATGAATGCTGCCTAGGATGTGCTTCAGGATGGAAGTCTCGCCGAGACTACGAAAAGTGGGACTCAGAGGTATACTGCATCATTGCATCAGCCAAGAACCCGAGCGATGATTTCATTAGGTTCAGGTTCAGAGGGATTGCTCGGCCACGCACCAGGCTTGTTGTGGCCCTGCTAATCAGCCCTGCCAAGGTCCTTAGGAGTGATACACCATGTCAGGTGGGTGAGACTGATGTGATTGTGTTGTTCTCGTTCATTCCTACATCACGTATTTGGGTCTCCGGTCTCGACCCCGAGACTATTGTGGGGTGACGTGACTGGCAGGTCATTGTTCCTTTGGATTACAAAGATATGATAGCCTCGAAGATGAGCGTCGATAGATTGATGACCCACCGTCTTTTGACTGCCATTCCAATCGTTGGGTTCCGATGGGTGCGGTGCGGATAGAAGCCCAGGTAGGGTCGGTGGTGATCACGGGATGGAGACCGGAGGGCTCGGAAGAGACCTTGGCCCCATGCAAGTACTCCTACAATGTTCACTTGCACTTGATAATGGCGATACGCCCAAACTCCATTGTTAGATACTTCTTGCCAAGTAATGCAAGATCTTCAGCCCGCCCAACGGTCGCTGGAAAACCAGGCGCGGTCTCAATTTCAGGTGTGGCGTCTCATCTCACATTTCCCCGGGATTAAGTATTGTCCGCCGTCGGAAACGCCACCACGTCCTGCATCCAATGGCAATGAATGTACCGAGTAGTCAATCGAGAAGGCATGCATTGACCGCTCCGGCTTCATTGTTGATGTTTGTTGTCGGTCGGTCGGTCGGTCGCCGAGGCAGGGTGTCACAACTCCCAAAAGGCCCGATCATCGCGGGTATGGGGTTCGGCTCGGGGTTCCGAAATGTGCAGGCTGCCATGGAATCTCAAATGTTGGACCTCGGCGTTGCTACTGTTGACACGATGTCCACCATTCCACCATTGTTCTATGGGTCGTTCGCCGTCATGCCGGTGCCGACGCGGGTTTCAACGTCCCAAGTATGATCGTCTTGAGTACGGGGTTAGGCTCGGTGTTCCGAAATGTGAAGCCGTGGCATCTCAAATTATGGATTCCTGAGTGTCTCGACTGTTGGTACGTAGTCCACCATTCCACTTTCCGTTGCAGTGGGCCCCTGGCTATCACTTTTGTCGGTCACTTTGCAGGTCACATATTTCAGTCATCTTTTTGGTGTCAACAGTCGGCCACATCCCGGCAGCTTCTTTTTATGGTATTGGCAAGGCCTGGGTGGCTGGACAGTCGCACCCCGCATATCACCTCTATTTCGGTCGCATGTTATTGATTACAAGATTCAAGCGATTCTTCTCTGCTGATTGTCCATTTCGCGCCCTGTTATGTCCCAGTTCGAGGAATGGAGAGTGTATAAGATGCCTGCTCGGTGGATATCATCCTGTAGATTGTCGGGAGAGTGAGTAGGATTTTTAGATAGGGCCTCGGGACATTGGATTGGTGGCTCTGAATAGCACCGAGGAAGATGACATGATACCTAGTTCCCTACTAATAACGACCTCGAGGGCCATGAAATGGGTTGAAATCGAGATTGTCGTATGGAATTGTGGATAGGAAGAAAGGTATCTCACGGATATGGCCTATCCCACGGATCGCAGCGCTCAACGGCCAAGCCAGCTCTTCTAAGCTTTCAGCAGTCGACCCAGTCCTTGTTATATGCTTTAGAAGGATCACAAATGTCAAAGATGGTATAGCCAATGAATGGAAAGCATTGCCTCAATGCAGGCCCGCCATGTCCATCGTCTGCCGTGCGTAAGGCGTGGGTGTCCAGTCAATCGACAGACCGCGAAGACAGAAATAGAAGTGCGGGGCGGACTATGCGCCCGTACCTAGTAGCATTTGAGCAAAATGTTTTAAGAGAGACCTGCATCGAAAGGATAGATACAGGCACACGATTCATCGTCATTCTCGCAAGAAGCTGAAAGCGGCCGAGGTTGTCCGGCCGCAACAAGAAGCCCTAATGAGTAATGTGATTCCTCAATCCCATTTTCACCCAATCGTATGTAGTACCAGATCCGTGCGATTAGCGTATTCTGCAAGGTCAAAGACCCAGAAGGGATTTTCAGCTGCTTGGCTATGCCGACACGGCACGCTTTCCATCTGGGATACCCTTGCCGACGGTGGCGAAAATCGCCAATCCAGGCGAAATAAGCACGCGATGGTAGATAACAAATGCTGGACCCCATGGGTCGGAACACGGATATCCCGAGCAAGCGTATTTCTGTCAGCGCCATAGTGGATAAACACCGAGCTGAGGCGACAAGGTCATGGCGCGAACATGGAACAACTGGCAAACACCGGTTCAGCAAGCCAAATTTCCCTACCACGAGTCATTCGGCATTCAGCCAGCCCTGATAAAAGGTGACAAGAGAACAGGTGTTTGCTGCAGATCCTAGGAATTGTACCAAAGGATTGGTCGGCTATTATCTCCCCTGTGATCAACCCGCAGGTCCCTCATGCGGCCAGCACAGAAACTACATTAGCCTCTATGGGGTTGTCCGGCGCCGAGCCCTAGTCCGCCACTGGCCTGCGGCACGTCATGATCGCTTCGAATTTCCAGCTTATCGCTTGAGTCTGCCTGCTCAGTAAGGCCTGCGCCGTGTTGATAACGCTTTGACAAGCTTCGGTGGCAAATTGTGGGGTCCTCGATCCAGACTCCTCCAGAGCAGGGAGAGGACAGTCCCTACTGTCACTATCGGGACCGCAACGTATGAGATCGCGTCTCCGTCAGTCGTTTGTGTATCCTTGGATAGGATCGAAAGTCACATCTTGCGGGTTAGAGAGAGTAAGCGGCCGATCAAAAGGACCGAAGGACATCTGCACGTCGTAATCTCTTCGATTAACCTAGTCAGACCAAATAACCCGGATCCGGTTTGGCTTGCGATGCTGCGTCTTGAAGCAGGACATCAGAGCCGATGGACTGCGCCCGGACTTCAGCTCCTATCTCTCACATAATGGCACTAACAGCTAGCCTGGGTTGTCCATAATCACTAGCTCAGCTTTCAGCCCTCGACATATCGCAAACCTAGACTGCAGAACCCAAAGCCACCATACATCGGCGACGCCGCCACCTCGTAGCCGCGTTCTCTGTGTAACATGTTCGCCCGGTATTTAAAGCAGCCATGAGGACTCCCTCTCTCCCAGCCAGCAGCTGACCTGGAGATTCAGACCTTGACAATAACTCCACATACTTTACAATTTGTCAGATAAAGCACAATGACACCTCAACCACTGCGACCGATTTCCTACCGGAATGACCCGCTGGGTACGATCGGTTGTACGGCCCCAGTTCATTCCGAATACAAATTCCTGGCAACAGGCATCCCGAACGAGAATGACCCAAGACCGAACTCAGTCACGATTGACCCGGTCGCATTACATCTTCCTTGGAGAAGCTCCTTCCCCGCAGCGCGACAGTGTCGATTTTGGAGCGAGGCAGAAAATGCTGGCAAGGCACTCCTCCAACAGATCAAGCGGATCAACCGTGCAAACAGCACCAAGGGTGGCTCGGCCAAGATTGACACGAATGAAGAGGAGATAGAGCTCTCGAACAAAGAGGTGGAGCGAATCGTGAACGCGTCGAGCGCGGCCGTGTATATGAACCCCAACTGTTCTTCCGAGGAGATCGAGATCATCTCGCAGCTTAACCTGATTCTCTGGATCCATGATGGTATGGCTCGTGGTACATCTGTCGGCACAGATTCGAGTTGCTAACATCCTCACTGGCAGACATCCTCGAGTCGTCGGATTCACCACACGAGGTAATTATGCAAGCACTTTATGTAACTGAAGGGAGGTTAACATGCGTAACCAGAGTGCAACGATCATCGAGAAAGTGACGGCCAGCTGGGCCGATATTCTTGCTCACCCACATAAATACGCGGCAGAGTCCTCAGATATGTTTACTCGCCTGGCTCAACAGATGCTGCGCATTAGTGGTCAAGGGCAAGGGCTTATACGGGGATACCTAACGTGGATGGCGTTCATGCGGTCGACAATGCGAGATCAGTTCACTTCCCTCAGAGATTATCTGGACTACCGGGCGGTTGACATCGGACGAGAGTGAGTACCTCGTATCCTCACGACGCCTTCATAAATCAGTACCCGATCTCATTCCCTTCGTGCAGCTATATCCTGGCCGCTGTGAAGTTCGGTAACGGAATTCACCTCTCACCCGCTGAAGAGCCACCGCTAGCCCCGTTGATCGGTTTGGCCATGGATCACATAATCATGACCAACGATCTGTTCTCCTACGACAAGGAGCGACGCGACTCCGAGACGTGCGCGAACGCGGTCCAATACCTGGAGCAGGTTCTCTCCGTTGACGCGGGTTCCGCCAAAACACTTATCACCAGCCTGCTCACGCAGACGGAAGGTCGGATCCATGCGGAGCTGGAGAGTTTGTGTCGTTCGGGTGCGCTGAGTGAGGCGCAGATCCGGTACGCACGGGGTGTGGTTGAAGCAGCGGCGGGCAATGTGGTTTTCTCCATCACCACACGGAGATACAGCCCTATTGGAGCTGGCCACGCCAGTGGGACGAAAGGTTGAGAATCGAGAGGGATTGTTTTATAGAAGATTAAGACAATACCAATAGACCATCATTGATTGTGGAAAATTCTCTTCGATGCTTAAGCCCGCTGGGTGCGGGGATGTCACGGGTAGGGAAGGAACTAAAGGGGCATAGTCTCGGCCGGGAACGGGGATAGCGAGCTGGCCGTCAACATTCCGAGCTACATATGCTGGTTGTATACGTATACAAGTGGCAAGCTTGACAATGGGACTGGAGCATCCGTCGAGTTTAGCTTTGGTAGAAACAGAAAGTTCCAAGATCACTGTAAGCCCCTGACTCCACTCACTATGAAGGGGTAAGTCAACCAGACCACATGATTGGCAGTGCACTGCGACCATGAATCCCCTACTGACAAGGTGTATTCCTTGAAGAGCAATGGCATTTGGTGCATGGTGAATCTCTTTTATCAGTAACGCTGATTGATGACCAGTCTTCGAGGCAGGGCAAATCGGCACGCATCAAGGCCAAGTAGTTGTCACCAAACGACGTCAAACCTCAATTTATAACGCAGGCGGGATTAACGGGCATATTTCACAAGCTCACTCCGATCACAACATTCTATTTGACTGCCGTGATAACCTCGGAAAGGTCATGATTTGTCGGAGAGCTCAGAGGCTCCATCCTGCGGCGCTGGTTTGCGCCCGTTTGAAAAGTAAAGTTCCTGCCTTAGGGCTAGCGGATCCCATTGACCCACTGCAATAGATTGCGATGGATGTAGGAATTCTATTCTTAAACAAGGAAGATTCCGATCTTTGAAATCTTTCAGCTATTCATTTTGATTCTGTTACGACTTTCCTGTCGCAACTCCATTCCTTCCCGAAGGCAAGCCAATGACATACATTACAAGAGCCAGGAAGACCGATGATGTCTCGATGGCACTTCTTCACAGAGCGCCTTGACAGAGCATATGAAAACAAGAGATCACCGTAATGGAGGCCACGTGCGGCTTACATGGAACAGGTCGAAATCAGAGACGTGATGGGATAATCTAACATGGTCCTCACAGTCTAGCTTTGGCTACCGGTCTAATATTTCCTCGAAGGAACTCCCCGATCCCGCCCTCAATCGTCCATGCTTCCCTCGCCAGATCCTGTTGGTTCACCGGCAACTGCTTGGTCCAGCTCATCAACCTTTCATAGACATTCCCATCACGACATCCGAGCGCGCTGCAAAGACACGCATCTGTGAAGTCCCAGGCATCGGTTAGAGCAATGACATCAGGCAGCAGTGTCGCCAGAAGTTCGTCGATGCGCGCACGCATCTGCAGGAAGTGGTCGGCAGTCAAAAGTCGGTCTTCGGCGAACGGGACAGAGATGAATGATGGGCCTGGGTTGTTGATGGTTGTCAGAGCGAATAGCTCCGTGAGGCGTGAGAGAACGGGGAGTAAGCTCGGCTGCGCACTCCCGATGACTTTCACACGACGTTGCATAGACTGCAGCACGAGGTACTCTAAGTACGCATGTGCAGCGGGCAGAAGCCGTGTGAGAGATGTGTTCCATGCTTCAGCTGGGGACGACGTGCGGGTTTGCTGTGTGTAAAAGGAGTGTGAAGCGGATAGGAGTCGGTGGAAATGGTGTTGGAAGATCTTCAACAGTGTTGCTGGCTCTGAAATGTGATTACTGTCAAGCAAAAGGTATGATGGTGGGGAGTTCTCTCCCTCAACCTGCAGCCATTGCTGGTATCCCGAGAGAGACTCAGTCATGTCGGAGTCCACCGCCCTTCCTGCTTGAATAGCGCCAACCTGCTTGAACATGTAGCGCAACGTTTGCTGCCACATGACATAATTCTCCCCCTCAAAGGTCGCCGCAGCACACGCCGTTCCCACCATATCCGGTAGCCCCGAGATTACGAGGTATCCATGCCCTCCACACATCTTGCGCGCCTCCTCCGCTCCCGCAGCAACAGTCTGTGTGGCCCAAGCTTTCAGCCCGGCGCTCACAGCATGGATAAAGGATAAGCGACCGAGCGCCCCTTCTCTCTTCTCCTGCTGATACTCTTCGAACCGGTCGCCAAACTCCTGCGAGGCAAACAGGATAGCATACGCCTGAGAAATGAGCGTCAATACCCGTTGATGCTGCGTCTTGTAGGCGAGGATGGAGACTTCAGGGCAAGCTGGTGAGGAGAACATGGGAGCGCCCTGCTCGCGCACCACTGAAAATCGCGTCGCCACGGTTAGGGGCTGCGCCAGCCCAAATGCCGCCCAATGGATCACCACCCGCCGCACCTCCAGCATTGTCGCATAACTCTGTTTCGCAAAGCTTTCCTGGGATCCTACCTCATTTCGCACATATGTCCCGTCTGGTAGCACCCGTGCATGCGCCGCCAGCAGACTATCTCCTGGGACGCGCAGGTGATTGAAGTGGGCATAGCCATTGCACGTACCGTTATACGCCATCTTCTGGCCCACATCTCCCAGCTTCACTCCGTTTATGGGTGTGGAGTCAGAAAGATTGCGGATCTGGACGACAAACCAATGCACACCATGGTCCACTCCGCCGGTCTCCAGTCTGGCTGCAACTACTGCGTGAGAGCAGCTGAGTCCCAAGCCCCCAGGCCAGAACTTCGTCGCGGTCACCGTCGGAGAATTGAGAATGAATTCCCCCGTGGCTGAGTCGAAGGTCGCCGTGGTTTCCATGCCACGGACGTGACTACCGTGTCCCAGCTCCGTCTGCGCATAGCAACCATTGATCTCCATGCGTTCGATCAACGGCAGCCAGTAGCGTTTCTGTTCGGTGGTGCCCTGTAGGTTGATCGTGCGGCGGAACATCAGGAAGTTCAGGCCAAAGGGTGTGGCGTTGGTGAGTTGGCTGCGCTCGGTCAGGTTGATGAAGTGGGTGTGATCGTGCTGTAACATGTCGGTGACGATGGCCCGGCCGCGGCGCAGGCCCTCCAGGTATTGCTCCCTCCGGTCGAGGCCAGTGTGGAGGTGGGGAAGCTTCATGGTGTCGGTTATGCCCAGGGTGGATTCGACGCGAGCGAGGGCTGCACGGCGGGAGGAAGCGTTCTCCTCTCTATTCTTACCGTGCATTCGATCAGAAGGCGCATTCATGGGAAATAGTCTCGGGACTGTACACAACTTACCCGTCATGGATGATGTGCGTCAAGAGCATAGAGTCAAACGTAGCCGCTTGACGGGCCTGCGTCATCAGTGCCATCTGCCTATTTGGCGACATCGTGTGCACAGAGTTGAAAAATGACTCCATCCTTTTCTGATTAATCCCGTTCATATGAATCAGAGGGAGTGTTGCATGATGCAGAGATATATCGGCTGCCCCTGCGCTGCAAATCCGGTGCTGAGCGCAGAAATTGTGGCTTCTGGTGGGCACTTTAGCGATTGGACCGCCCGAGCAAGCATCAGCATCGAGCCGAGGCTGTCCTCAATGTGAATTGTTCCAAAGCAGGCTAGCTGGAATGTAGATGATCCTTCTCCAGCAATCAGAGCACGAAACCTGGGACTCTAGAAAATGCCAAGGCACGGCTATGGTCCGTGGACGGCCTGAGCTAGCCCGATCAAGTTAGCCTCGATAGAGACTATTTCCTGCCAAGATCTTGGTCCCATGGCGCTGGGCTCATAGGCGGACCTAGTTTATCCCTCACTTCCGCCAGATGAGGTCGGTTTGGATGGCTGTCGGATTGAAGCAACCTTCTTCCCCAAAACAATACAGTCTACCCTTACATCTACCATGGGTCCATCAAAAGCTCCAGCGCCGTTGGGCGAGCTGCAGGGTCCCCTTGCAAGGCTCGCCGCAACCACCTCAAAAGCCCTTCAACATCCTCACCTTGAATGTTGACGGCCAACTTCTCGAAAGTTCGGTCGGAATTGGAACCAAGTTCTTCTAGTTTCCTGATTCATCCCATAACACCCAGCTCATGTCCATTTTCTTGAGGAATTGCGGCCTGTACACCCAGATCATAAGCCCAGCAGGAGAGGCATAATCATGAATCCAGCAGTTGATTATGGGTCTCCTTAAAGCCGGTGAACAAAATTGAACATCCCATTGAGTTCCTGAAGCATGCTTTGACGAGGCGCGCGGTCATAATCATCAGAGCATCAGGCTTTTGACTATGTCATCTTGGAAGGCTGTTGAGCCCCAATTCAAGATGCTTGAGATTTTCGAGATCAGATCAAATGCACTATCCTCTTGTGTTGTCCGCCAGATGCCAATGTTGATCATACCATAGCTGCTCTTAGTTTCATTCCAGAAATGAGCCCACAGTTCACAGACAGGCCCTTCCGTGGTGACGGAGAAACAGAGGGACATCGGATTAGAAGACCCCGCTAGCTGAGGGCCTCGTGTTTCGAGCGGCTGCCCATCAGCAGCCCCAAAGAGAGCTTTTTGAATATTCACTGCCGAGGCGCCAGCCACTGCTGCTTGATTCTGTGCTTGATAGAGATTTCCGCCGGTTGCTCCCGACTTTGCCTCGACGAGAAGGAATGGAAACCGTAAGCTCAGTGGGGTCACACCGGGATCGCTGATAAGCTCACCGGTGTCCTGGAGGTCGTTCAACAGGAAATCTGCATTTGCGACCCCCGCCGAATGCAGTGCTGTTGCAAGGGTTCCATCCGATAGCCCCAGGGAGATGTCGGGACGGGGATCCTTGAGGAAGAAAGGCGTTGTGAGCGTTTGCTCAGATGACACTGATAGAGCTGTGCCTTTGCGGAGAAGCGGTGCAGCTGCGGGCTGGGCTGATGGAAACGAAGACGAACTTTCCAGGTTCATGCCCGGTTGAGAGCTGTCAGGCTCGCCAGGGCTGCTTTGCTTGGTAAGCCGTTTCCTAGGGACAGAAGACTGGGGAATCAATGGCTGATGGACGGCGGGTTTGATTTCGGATAACCAATCTGTTAGGTGATTAGTGTTAGCCCTGGATTATCGAGGATATTCAGATTGGGCAAATGTGCCCCTATTTCGCGCAATTACTAGATTTGATGACTTCAGGCCGTTCAGAGCCTCGTGTATGGACTCAGCCCACTCGGCTTCACCGGCTTGAGTGGCCGCCCACTCCATTGACTGAGATTGGAGTTTGGCTGCTAAAAGTTTGAGGGTGGCACGAGATAATGACGCACGGAATTTATTCGAGTGTCAACCTCTTGAGGTGCCTTCGCATCAACATAGATTCTAGCACGGAAAAGCGTACGTGCTCGGTAGGTGGACTCGCTCGGCTTGCGTGGACTAGATGAGCGGGACCTTCTGGTGGATACCGATGATAGAGAAGGCGGAGGCAACTTTGTGGGGCCTACGTCGGGATACGAATTCGCCATACTGCCTGAAGTCTGTGATTCGAGTTGTGAGAGATGCTGCCTCGTCAATGGAAGGGTAGTCGGCGAGAATGAAGTCGGAGTCAACCTGGCGTGTTTGGAATCCTGCTCATCAGGTGCGGAGGGATCTGCATGTCGCTTCATGTTTGGTTTTCTACATGGACGTTTTATCCACTGAGTCTCGGCAAAGCAAGAGGATGTACCTCTTATCGTTCCTTGACGTGTTCGAATCAGCGAGGCGGCATATAATGGGTAGATAACGTAGGAGCCTGTCATAGGCTTAGCTGTGTGTTATGGTGTTTGTGTTTACATTCAATGTGATGAGAGAACACGCGGTCAGGTGATCGGGGAATTGAGTTGACACACGTGACACAGATAAGATAAGAGCAGCTCCCACAATGTGAAAGGTACAGAAGAGCATTTGACCACGCAACAGTGACCAATATACATACTTGTGCAAGATCAGACAGCCATGCAGAAAGAGTTCAGAGACAAGAGAGCGAGTGGATCCACTCGGGATTATCTAGCACGAAGGTGGTCAACATCTAACAAAGTACAGAATCAGAATCAGCCAAACCTAGCAACAAGCGTCCACCGAGGTTAAGGCGCGTCGCAACCAGCGTGAAAGAAGCTCGCTTACTGGACAGCCCAAGCAATTTCATGATTCTAGAGACACATTGACTTTCTTGAGATGAAAGGGTGGGCATAGCAGTAAAGATCACATTTGTCTACAGCACTACCAACCAATAAAGACATTGTCTCGGGCATCCTTTCGAGGTTACCGAGACTCTTCAACAACGGCATTGTCTTTTGACCACTGCACACTCGTGGTTGAAAGCAGTACCCTGGAACTATAAATGACCACATGAGCGCTATATTATGTGAGGCCACTCGCCTGGTCTCACGAACTCGTTTGCCTACCTCACTCTGTCGTTCAAGCGTGTTTTCATCGCCTGCAGCTTTCATCCAATCGCATAGACACCTTTCGAGTCAACAATCGAAATGGCCAACAAGATCGATACCCACATGACGACTCATACCAACAGCCCCATGCCTTGCACAAGCAAAAAGCGAGGACTCACCTGCGATGAGGAGCCTGTTCGAGCGTCCAAAAGACCCAGGGCTGGCTCCAACAAACCGCCGCCTATAAGGCTCAACGACTCCGCTCGCCATGCTGCGGCGCCTTTGAGTGCACCATTACTATGCACTCGACCTTTCTTCGATCTTTCAGAGTACGGCATTCCAGCTCTGCCTCAGCTGCACTACAAAGAGAAGGTGGCTGCACCGGACTCAGTCCATGTCCAATGGACTTTGCGAGCCCCGGTCCAGTATCACCGGGTCCCAGCTCGGCGACACAGCCTCGATGAACCCCGACAGGTGAATGTTCCTGTTCGTGTGCATACCCTGAGTCTGCAGCCCATCGTGCTCTGCAGCGTGCAGCAAACCATCCCAAAAGCTGCGGTTCTGCACTCCGTAGCTTTGACCAACCCCACCACTTCCAATACCCCTAACCATCTTCCCAAAGGCATCCCCGCGCCCGATTCCACCCTTCTCGAGTCCCTACGCACCCAAATCCCAAAGGAGATCCTCCCACTTGCCGTCTGGCTGTACGAACTCCTGTACCCTCGCGAATGCCCTGAGACGGACGTCACGACCTGCGAATGCCACCTGGCCCAGATGCAGGGCTGGTCGTCGTCTCCCACCACCGACATCCGCCAACACATCCTCCTCACCTCCGACGCCGCGGCCCTAACCACCATAACCAACTTCCACACCAAAATCATGCACTTCGTCGAAGACTACATGACACAAACCTGGTCCACCTTCGCCCAACGCTTCCCCTCCCTAATTCCCACACCGCACCCCTCCCGCACGGAATACCTCCGCGTCCTGCGCACCTTCTATCTCCACGAAATCTGCACTCGGAAGATGGCCCTCACGCGCCGACAGATGCCGACCCGCGGTCCCGCGCGGGGGTTCGTGGAGGAGAGATACAAAGTCTCCCTGGACGCCTCCTGGCGCCACCAGATCACCCAGCTGGCAGCCTGGGAAGCGGAGCAGCTGTTCTGCGTGGCCACGTATCTCCGGGGCGTGTTCGACGCGCTCCTGGACCGCGAGCTGGACCGCGCGCGGCTGCGTCGGCTCGAGGACGGGATGCGCCCGCTCCCCCCGGATGATTGCGAGTTCCAGGGCATGGCCTTGCTGTACCGCGCGTGCGCGGAACGGGATCCCGTACAGAGGGAAAGAATGCTGGAGGCGGCGGATCGCGGGTGTCTTTGGGTGGTTATGAGTCAGAACCTGGGGAATTTCCTGCGGACGGTCGGCGGGCATCGGACCGCGGTGCTGTGGACGGGGAGTTTCTTTCGCGATGATGGCTCCGGGGCGCAGGCGGCGTGGCGATGGGCGCTGGGGAAGGCGGAGTGGTCTGTCTTGGTGGGGCGGAGGCGCACCGCTGAGGCTAGGAGGTGGGGGTATGTGTTTCTGGATCGGGAGCGGTTGGTGAGCCATGGGGTCTTGACGGGGCCGTTTGTGCGGAGTGGCGGGGTTCGTGATGAGTGAGTGACGTGGCGGTGTTTCTTTGGCACTGCGATGGCAGTTTGAATATATATCTATACATCTTCCGAAGAATTGTTGTTCTTCCTTCATAACTCTATGTGTGCATCGCTCCTGTGATATGTCGTAACCGTAGCCGTAATCTACCAGGTAGTAGTCTATACACGACCCCAACCCCATACCGTAACACGCCTATAGCACCCTCTGTAAACATCTACAAATGCTACAACACCGTCCCCCGCACCTGCCTGACCCCCCTCAACCGAATATCCCTCCACATCGCCACACCCAAAACCGCTGCCGGCAACACCGCCAGCCCAACAATCAACATTCTCTTCTGCGCCACCCCGTACGCTCTGACCGTCGCCTCACGCTCCTCCGTCCCCGGCGCAAACTCCAACACCCGCGCAATGGACCCATACAGCTCGGCCGCCAGATACTTCTTCTCGGGTGGCAGATACTCCTCGATGTACACGGGGACGGTACTCGTCCAGATCGCGCCGGAGATGGCCGCGCCCACCGCGGACCCGATCTTCGACCCCAGCCCGACCAGCGCGAACGAGACGGCGATCGTCTCGTGGTTACCCGTCGCCAGGCCCGCAATCTCCTGGCAGATGACCAACGTGCCGCCCGCGACGGCCTTGAGGATCTCGCAGGCGATCACGGCGGTGATGTGGCTCGTGGGCGAGCGGAAGGGGATCATCAGGGCGGTGCCTAGGATGAAGAGGGGGAGGGCGATCAGGGCGGGGGTTTTGAAGCGGTTGATTTTGCGGATTAGGCTGGCTTTGTTAGTACACATGCCATTAGAGGGAGTCGGAGGTGTGGAAGGAATGCGAGGGGCACGTACATTCCCACCGGAATCGAGATGATGCAGCTGCCGATGCTGTAGATATTGTAGATGTACCCTGTGTCACGGATGTTGGTGTTGAAGACGACCTGCAGGTACGAGGAGAAGTAGAGGTCCCAGCAGCTGCGCGGGGTATTAGTAGGTTGAATTGGTGTAGGCAAAATTGGGGCAGGAAGGGCAAGGCGTACTAGAAGCTCATAAACATCGCGCAGGCCAAAAGAAACGCGCCGAGGAGCGTCGGGTCCCGCAGCCGGCTGTACGGGACGAAGCACACCGGGGCGCCCGATCGCTCCCAGAACAGAAACCCGATCACGCTGAGAACACCCAGAACGATCATCGCGATGATGTCCGGCGCCATCCACCGGTCGAGCAGCGAGGTGCTCCACATGTTGGTCCCGGAGGTGGCGAGGGTCAAGGGCAGCAAGATCAGGACGAAGCCGGCGGTGATGAGGAACATTCCGATCGCTGTGCTCATTAGTACGGTGCTGTGCATGGCTCTGAAAGGCATCACATACGGTCGAACTCCACGGCATAATGAATGATCGTCTCCATCCGTGTGCGGTTTTTCGGCTTCGGCTTGATGACGCCCGCCGATCGAGCCTTCTTACGCGTGCTCCAGAGGAGGAGTAGGAGAGGTGCGGTCACGAGCGGCGTGAGAATGGCGAAGATGCCGAATCCAGTGTACAGGGCGTCGCGTTCGTAGAGGAACTGCGCGGCTGCTGGCCCGATGAAGGTGGTGATCACGTAGGGAAACGAGGCGATGCCGTAGACGAAGGCCCGGTTGACAAGTTCGGTGGTGTCGGACATGAAGACATGCAGGACGTAGTCCATGCCGTTGTAGCCGACCCAGTAGATGATCTGGACTTGGGTCAGGCGTGGTCTGGTAAATATACGGAGGGGTCCAGCGGGGAAGAGCCTACCTGTGCAGCGACATAGGTTTCGACATTACGACAGGCAGCCATCAGGACTAGTCCTAGTCGTAGTCAGTATACAAGATGTTTCTTGTGATCGAGCAACTTACCCAGGGTGCACAATGCGACCATAGCAGCAAAGCCCTCGGGACGGCCCAGAATGTCGATCAATTTGGCGATCGGCAGTTTCGACACCCCGCCGATGATGCTCGTCAAAACATTGGTCATGGCGATGAGCGAGTGGTCGGTGAACTCGGAATAGACATAGGGACTCAGACTGCTGGTCGTTTGCTGCTGCAGGGAGTTGACGAAGAAGATGATGAAGACCCTGCGGAGTCAGAGGGGACTCGACGAGGATGCGGGGGACTTACAGTGCGTAACCCGTATACAGGGTCCGGGTGGACCAGACCGAAGCCAGGGCCTCGATCTCCGCAACCCCATGAGAGGTGTGCTCCGGGGAGGACAGATCCGGGCCATCAGGGATGGGCTCATAGCCATCATCTCGTGGCACGGGGACGTCAGCAGGATGCGTATGGCGGATTTGTTCAAGAATCTCTCGGGCTTCGTAGTACTTGCTCCGCAAGAACCCGAGCATGGTGGGAGGCTGTTGCTGCTGTCTGTTCTGAAGCGCGCAGACGGTTCCACGGAACCAGAAATTTTACTGTGAAGATTGCAGAAGACGCGAGAAAAGAAGTTGCAGCGGCCAGCGCTTGATGCGACTACATGAGAACAACAGAAGAGGATGGGACTGTGCAAGAGGGGGGCGTCATGAAATATAGGTAGGGTAGGCCTAGAGTGAATGCTGACCGCTTGTATTGCGGAAGGAAAAGCAGAGACTGCAGAGACAGCCTATGTGTGGGTGAGGCAACCAATCATACGCGTGACTCAATCCCTCCGAGGTGGATCCCGGCATTAGTCGCGTGCAATTGGGCGGTCATTGGCGGGAGAACCGAAAAAAAATAAAAAGGCAAGATTATCAGATGAGAATCCCATCTGATAAGATCCTGTCGCGCTACTCGGATCCCTCGGCATGGTCAATGAGGTGACATTTACCCCGCTCGAGTAGAGATTCATTTCCATTGCCTGTTCTTGTCTATCGTGGCAGTATGCTCTTCCATATCTTATCATCGAAGCCTCATCATCTGTTGTCTCCGACCGTAGGATGATCAGATAGCTACCATGCATGACTTAACGCAGCTGTCAAAACCCCCTCACCCCCCCCCCCCCCCCTCCCCTCTCCCTCTTGAATAATCAGAACCACAAATACGGTACAGTGACATGGACACTGTTAGCCTTCAATTCCAATGTGAAGTACACATTAAACTAACATCTATACACACATCTTCGTGCAGCGATCCTCCACGCCACTATCATCCCTGCAACTGCACTCAGCAACTCTCCCCCCCCACAGCACTTCGCATCCTGCAAAACCTCCAACCGACAGAAACACGAAGCCCGAATCGGAATATCCGCGCCAGCCAACGCCACATTCCTGGCCGGCTCGATCGCCTTCGCCTCCTCCGTCTTGCCCAACCTGACCAAACACTCATGATACCCATGCAACGCCCAGACATTGTTGGGGTGCCTGCGCGGGCGGATCAGCGACCCATCGAGCCCCAGATCGGCGCGGTACGTGCGGGCCGCCTCCTCAACCTCGCCCTGCTCCAGCTTCAGCGCGGCGTACGCGTGCCGCACGGGCTGCATCCACGCCCACGGCTCGCTGTAGGGCAGCCGGTCCTCGAGCTCGATCGCCTCCTGCAGCGCCGCGAAGGCGACCCCGTAGTTGCCGGCGCGGTACTCGATCTCCCCTGTCAGCAT